CAGCTCTGCCTCCTGCTCCTGGCCCACTGAACCTGGAAGCTTTTCTTCTCTCAGACAGCTGCTGGCTGCTGAAGCTGACAAACCCAAGGTCAACAAGTGAAAAGGCACAGTCTCAATGTTACCAAACAACATGGTAGGCCATTGATTCAAGTCCACTGAAAGTCCCAAAATCAGCAGAGTATGGCAGGCTGTTGAAAAATGGCATGGCTACATGCAAGGTTCAAGTGTGCCATAAGCTAGAGACCATTCCCAAAGCTGCTTCTTACATACAGGAAGCAGACCACATCCCTAAAGTAGCTACTCAACTGCTTGTGGTAGATCCCACCATGGAGTTGATTGCCAGTCTCATCATGGGGAATAACTATCACCAGCTGCCCATCCACTCAACCAGGCCCATCCAAGTTGACACACAACTGTAACTAACAGAGATAACTTGCACTCCTCAAGCTCAAAGCATACTATAAAGCTACAGTAATCAAAATACTGTGGCATTTGTATAATGACAGATATATATAGTTGAATGGTATAGAACTAAGAGTCCAGAAACAAATCTGTACATCTATGGTGAACTGATTTTCAACAAGGTGCTAAGTCCATTCAATGGAGAAAGAATAGTCTCTTTAATAAATGGTGCAAGGACAACTGGATTTCCACATGTGAAAGAATGTAACTGGACCTATACCTCACACCATATAGAAAAATTAACTCAAAATAGATCCAGGACTTAAACTAACAAATGAAACCATAAACTGTTAGAAGGAAATATAGAGTAATCTTTTGGTTTAGATATGATACCAAAAGCATGAACATAAACAAACAAATAAATAAATGGACAAATATGACTTCATCAAAATTAAAAACTTCTGTTCATCAGAATAGAACTTTATGAACAAAGTCAAGAGACAACTCACTGATTAGAGAAATTATTTGGCAACCATGTATCATATGAAGGTTTAATATCCACAATACTAAAAGAGCTCCTACAACTTAACAACAAAATGACTCAGAATCCAATCCAAAAATGGGCAAAGGAATTTAGAATAGACATTTCACCAAAGAAGAACTACTAATGGCCAACAATCACATGAACAGATGGTCAATGTTATAAGTCATTAAGGAAATGCAAATCAAAACCACAATGACAAATGCATTCACCCTTTCTAAGATGGCTATGATTAAAACAAAAGGGAAACAACAGTGTTGGTAATGATGTGGACAAATTAGAACCCTCATCCACTGCTGATGGGATTATCAAACAGTACAGCTGCTGTGGAAAACAGTTGGTACTTCCTCAAAAAGTTAAAATAGAATTAACATACAATTCAGCAATTGCTCGGGTAGGTATATACTCAAAAATAATTGAAAGTGGAAATATAAATTCTCGACACCAATGTTCATTGCAGTACCATCACCATAGCCATGAGGTGGAAATAATCTAACTGTCCATCAGCAGGTAAATGGATAAACAAAATATGGTACGGACATACAAATCAGTCATGAAGAGAAATAAAGCTCTGTAATGCTACAACATGGATGATCCTTAAAAATGTCATGTTGAGCAAAGCAAGTCAGTTGTAAAAGGAGTTGGTAAAGTAGAGTGTGAGTGAGTAAGGGAAGAGCCTCGATGAGATGGACTGACACTGTGGCTACATCAATGGGCTCAGGCATGGCAATGATTATGAGGATAGAGCAGGACCGGGCAGTGTTTCATTCTGTTGTACACAGGGTCGCTATGAGTTGAAACTGACTTGAGAGCACCTAACAACAACACCTTATATAAAATATTTAGAATAGGTAAATGTATAGAGACCAAAGTTCATTAGTGGTTACTAGGGGTGGGAGGGAGGCAGAAAGGGGAAGCTTCTGTTCAGGGTATAAAATAATTTTAAAATGAGTAGTGGTGACAGATGCATGATGAACATAATTAATGGTCACAGAAGTGTACATGTCAAAAATATCAAAATGGCAAATGTTTTATAAAATGTAAATGCACTACAATTTAAAAAATATCCAAAGAGGAAGATCCCCTAGGGTCTCAAACCATCAGTTAAAAACAATCAAGTACTTCTCTGGCCTGGATGAGTAATAAGGTAGAATTGAGGTTTTTGCTTAGAGCATCAGGTGCCCTGAGAGAGGCCGAGGGAGGGTCCTCCTAATGGATAAGTGATAATCTTAAGGAAAGAACAATACCTAAGAGTAGGGCACTCATGCAAAGGGGCAATTTTTAAATAAAGACAATCCAAGTTATTCTGATGCAAAATTCATTTTGATATAGAGCTCACTCTCCTGGGATCTCAAATAATTAAGTTACATATTACTCCCTACTGTGGCCTAGAAACAAAATTTGGATGAGGGTGTGGCAAGCTACAAATTTTACCTACAGAAATTATTTTTTGGTTCTAGAAATTAGGGTTCCAAGAAAAAGGGATGTTAGATGAAGGCTGTGAATGAAGATAAAAGACCTGGCAGGATCTTTTTATTTTAGCATGTGCCCTTCTCTTTCTGAGATGCAAAAAGCAAGGGAGAGAATAATAAATACTGAGGGATTCTCACAATCTTTAACTTGGGTAAAGGGGAAGGCAAAATAATCAAATAAATAAAAATAAAATCTAACATTCTAATGGTCAAAACCTAATTGAAATGATAAACCAAAATGAAAAACAACAACAACAAAACAAAACCCCGAACTCACCCAACCCCTCCTTGGGTTTCCTAGGTGGTATCTCTATGGAAGTAGATTCCCCAATTTTTCTTCTGAGGAGTGGCTGGTGGGTTTGAACTACCAGCCTTCTGGTTAGCAGTCAAATGCCTTAGGAACCATGCTACCAGAGCTCCCTTGAAATGATAAAGTATCTGTAATTTATTTCAAAATAATGTAAGGTGGAAGGGGTGGGTGAGTGTTGATGATTGTTGGCGCTGGGTGATGGGTAAATGTATACTATTCTGTCTACTTTTGTTTATGTATGAAATTTTCCAATAAAAAGTACTAGAATATTTCACAATGCCAGCACATTCTCTTCTGGCTGGCTTCAGACAAATTACTGATGCTACACACAGATATGCTAGTAGGATGTGATTGTTCTTTTGTTGGGAATATGACAAGTCAGCCCTAAAAAGACCAGAGACTTTTCTTGGCTGCTTACTGGTTGATATTTTTAACATGTTTAGAAAGAAAAATGCCAAGTATGAATTTATTTTGTTTCAAAAGCTAGTATTGACTTATTTGTAAAAAGTTTTTTTTTTTTTAAATTATGATAATCTGATCAATTGATTAAAAATTTTTAACTGATTAAAATGAGAACAGGTAGCATAGTGCCTAAGGCACTTGACTGCTAACCAGAAGGCTGGCGGTTCAAAACCACTAGCCACTCCTCGGAAGGAAGGTTGGGCAATCTTCTGTAGTGATACCGCCTCGGAAACCCAAGGAGGGGTCACTATGAATTGGGTCCGACTCGACGGCAAACAACAACAACAACAAAATGAGAACAAAGTTACAAATGATTAAAACAAAAACAAAATGCTTTCATTAACTCCATGAAAGTATGCAATGGTCCTCATTTGAGGACTGCTTGTTGTATATTATTGAGTCAATGGAGCAGTAAACTCGAAGTCTGGACAGTGTATCTCCTGCTAATTGGTCTGATACTTGGAATGTTGGAGGTAAGAATGCTCATTGATGGACAGGTTGTCTTCTTGAGACTTAATTGCTATCCTACATTTCACTGATTATGCTGATCATCAAAAGTGCTTCTACTTTCCATTGTGTGGAATTCACCTACTGGGTTTCTACCATCAGGAAGTGCCTGTTGTTTTGTTTTGTTTTTTTTTTTTTAAATTGTGCATTGGGTGCAAATTTACAGAGCAAAACTTGTTTTACATTCGGCAATTCATGTACATTTGATTTCACACCCCAATTTTCCCTTCCCTGTGATCCCCCTCTCCCTGTGCCCTTCTTAACTATGTACTTCTGTCTGTCCAGCTTTCCCTCTTCGTGAATGCTGCCCCTCTGGTGCCCCATGGCCAATTGCTCTAAGGGGTGTATCTCCGTAGAGTAGGTGGGTGCATCACCTTGGGTTGGGTGTTCTGCATATAAGTTTTTCTACTGTTGGGCTGAGAGGCAATCCTTAGAGTGGGTCCTATCCCAAGCCTGAAGGGTAGTATTCCAGGGTCATAGTCCTGGGTGTCCCATCAGACTCCATCCTACCAGTAATTCTGGTCATTATTGTGTTTTTGAATTTTGTTCCACATTTCCCCTCCCACTCTATCCAGGATCTCCAGTTTTGATCCCTTTCTGAGTGGTTGAGGAAGTGCCTGGGGTTTCTGAGTCAAATGCAAAGTGGGCAAACATTTGCAGAGAAGACCTATGAAAGACAACCAGGGACTGGCAGGGCTGCTGTTTGCCTGGTAAGGCCATTAGACAGAAGTCCCAAAGGCACCTGGAGAAGCAGATGAGCTGGGGAGTGGGAGAGAGTTTTCAGGGTATGGCCCCAAGTGAGAGACTGGGCAAAATCAGTAGCTATAAGTTAGCAGGGAGTCTTCAGAGTTCTCATAGGTAAATTGGAGGGGTGGGTGGGTGGGTGGGTAATCAGGCTGGATTTGTGGTGAAAGAGTCACAAACTAAGAAGGATGAGAGAGACCTAAGGAAGGGAGTGGAGACCAAAAGGACTGAAAGGAATGTCTCTGACAGAATATTTTCAACACTACCCTTTACTCATCATTTTGCTTTCTGGGAAGAAAAACAGGCCAGAAAACTTTTATAACTTAACTTAAAGTTTAATAAACTAAATACTGCTTTTAAAAGGTAATAAATTAATATGTGATATGATATCCACTTCTAAAAAAGAAGGTAATTTAAAATAATAGTTTATTTCTATTCATTTGTTATATATTTGGAGAAATGTTCTCAGAGGCATTCCTGGCAGTGATCAGGGGAAGTCAGGGTTTCTGGTCTACATTATTCCTCAGGCTGCATGTGAGAACTGTGTGGAAGACAGACATACCTTAACAATTTCCTCCCCACTAACATGCCGCAGTCGCCCTAGGATATCCATGATTCGGTCTGGGAAGGCCTTCCATTTCAGCAGAGCAAGTAGATCCACTAGAAAGCAAGCACAAAAGATGGTGACCCTGGCTAGGCCAAGGACAAGTAAGCTCAGACTCTCTTCGCCAAGGCAGTTGTGATCTGGAGGAATAGAATTGTGAGTATCTCAATAGGCTCTTCAGTGTTGAGATCAAGGCCAAAGACATCTGTGAAGCCTGGATGACACTTCTGATGCATGAACCTTAGAGCTTCTGGAAACATGAAAAACCTTGCAGGCTGCTATTTTTGAGTTATTCTTCAACTTCAAATAAAAAGAAGTCCCATATGAAGCAAGCGGTAATTTCTGTGTTCCTCAACATGGCACCAGCAGTGTGGCGCCAGCAACTGTGACAGTGAAGGGTATCACCTTGCAGGCATCATTACCTACCGTTCTGGGTGAGTTTGGTGGAGGAGAGCTGTGTGGAAATGGAGAAAGACTCTTTGGTGCTGCGCTGAAAGATGAGGCTGGAGGGGATGTTAGGGCAGCCATTGTAGTCCTCTTTGCAGCAGGGCAGACCCAGGTACAGAGCATGGTTGTTAAACGTGCTATTCTCATCACACTATAAACAAAAGTAGACAACAGAGAGTGTTTCTTGAGTTGTGCCACATGTAAAAATCAGGTTCCAAGGAATCTCACATACTTGGGTGTCAGGGCCTCCTGTAGAAGTGCTATCTATTCAGAAACTACCCAGAACAGCTCACGTGCCATCTGAAGAGACTACAGCAGAGCACATGGCTTCCATTTGCAGTCGGGAGTTATGCTGTGACAGCTGACAGTATTATGAACTCAAACAGCAGGTCACAGAATGTACTATCCAAGGCCACAAAGGCATACAGGGGTTGGTAATGGATTTCTGAGTAGAAGTGGAAAACAAAGGGCTTGCTGATATTACTTTTGGGAGAGGAAGACACTGTACTTAGAAGACAAAAGTCTGCTCACAGCTGTCCTGCTGTCATCTACTAGCCCACTGCCCTGGATCCTCTGGCCTGTCCACTAAGAACCACGACTGAGAACCATGTGTGAGAGTGGCCTTGGGGTGAGGAGTAGGAGTGAAAGGCAGCCAGACTCCATACCTTGTACACATAGAGCTCATGAATATCATCTGAGAGGGTGGTGCCGTCGTCCCGCATCAGGGGAGAGAATGCAAAGCCAAAGAGCTTTTTTTCTCCTTTGTCCTTTGCTGCAATCAGAGCCGAGTATTAATTGTTTTTGCCCCCATTTTGCTTACTAACAGAAATTCCCCTTGTGCTCATCATCCATGCTTTTTGATGAGCAATGTACTAAGTTTCAATTTACACCCCAAAGCACACAGGCTACCTAGACCCACACAGAAAACAGGTGTTGGTCTTGGTAAATCAGGGGCTCTTTAAGAAGCAGTTTAATAGTTACAAAAGAAACAGTCAAAGGATAATGACACTGGCATTTATCCACCCAAGGAATCCTGAAGGGCCATTGCAGATCCTATGGTTTTGGATTACTGCTTTTACAGTTCATAAACAGCCTTGATGACATCTCATCCCTGAGCACTTATTTATTCACAAGTCCTTATTTTCTTGCTCCAATAATAAGAAGTTAATTCTGCTCCAGAGAGTAGAGAGTTATATTCTAGAGGGCACATGGGGGTAAGCCTTACTCACTGGAACAATGTCTGAATTCAAAGCGCAGGTGGGAGCCCCGGAAGCGGTCGATGGGGATGGGCAATTTGATAATTTCTCCCCAGCGAGGACTATTACTGTGGTAGAGGACGAAGGAATGGTAGGAACTCCTATTTGGTTCTCCTGAACCCAAGCTGATGCAATCCTGGAAGAGACAAGCAAAGTAAGATGCCATCTTCCTTGAGGGAGTCCTTAAGGCACTTGACTGCTAACCAGAAGGCTGGTGGTTCAAACCCACTAGCCACTCCTTGGAAGGAAGGCTGGCCAATCTACTTCCGTAGTGATACCACCTCGGAAACCCAAGGAGGGGTTGCTATGAGTCGGGTCCGACTCCACGGCACATAACAACAACAATAACAACAGGACATTTTACTTTCTTCTGTGTGCAGGTCTCAGTTTCCTACAGCCCAAATGAGAAAAATCATTTGATTTAAATTTAATACTTTTGGAAACAACTGTGTAGATGGTATAAGGTATTGGTAGCCACAATATTTGTTGTTTTCTTTGGGGCAGAATAAACACATACATTGTTCAATAAACTAGAAGGAAGCTAGATAATGCATCTGAATCACTAATGTAGGCTTTTCATTCTCACTAACAAACGAAACCATGAGCTCCATGGGAGAAGTCAACTGGACATGAAATTTTACCAGACTGGGGAAAAAAAAAATCAAATTACAAAGTGGAGAGGACCTGTTTTCTAATCTTCTTCAACCCAGTGTTGCACTGGCATTTAAGGTTGCCTCATGGAAAGGAAAGGTTGCCCTTGACTGACTTTCCTTGGATATAAACACGATGAACTGGATTAAACTTGAATCCAGCTCCTAAATATCACCATGAAGATGCAGATCCAGGACTGCTTGTGCCCATCCTCTGGAGGCCAGAAAGCTGCAGGCAACATAATCAGGAGCAGGTCCCTGTCCATACAGGTGTAGTGTCACTAGCTGACAGCTTTGCTGCCCTTAGCATTCTCCATGCAAACAGTGGACATACTTTGGTGCTTGGGTTGAGTTTTTAAGAATGACACATAAATAATTGTCTCTACCACTATTTCATCATTCTCCTTCATTTCTGTCTTGCTTTGGAACATGATGATGACTAACTATACCATTTTCCTCTGTAAAGTGGGAATGCTCATTCCCGTTCTGCTTACCTCACAGGGCTGTTGCCAATACATAGGAGTGAGGTTTGCAAAAAAAAAAAAAAAAAAACAGATTTGTCTTTCACCAAGTGCTGCCTTTGTTATTTGCCAGAGATTCAACATGCATGACTGAGGGAAAAAAATAACATTCTGACAAAAGAAAACCAACATTTTAGATCTTCATGTCCAAATGAAGAGTGACAGAGGGTCCTTGCATTGCACTGACTGGAAATGATCTTCCAGGGCCTGAATTTGCTGTTATTTGTCTCGTAAGTTGGTGCCAAAAGATGAGTGCCTAAATTCTACCCTTAACTTTCTACATTAGCTCAAGGAACAAAATGGTGGAATGGGACTTAATAACAGTTACCTAAAGTAAGCAGCTCTCTGCTAGACAGAATGGCCAAAGAGGTAACATGTAGGACTGAACTAGAGGGAATAGGCATAAATTGGAGCAGAAGTCAGACACTCAGAAGAGTTTCTGTAAAGGTTGTATGATATTGGAAGTCATTGCCAAGGTACAGTGTTGGGTAGAGAAAACTGGAGTGATTTGAATTCAGTCCTGTCTGAGAGGAATTGGCCTCTGGACAAAGACCATAGAAGAACTAGAATCCTTACAGGATCAGCTTTAATTCCAAGTGACTGACTAGTTTGCCTTACCTTTAAGATTTCTCCATCTGCGTAAAGCACATACATGGTCACCTCAATATTCTTCTGGACACTCTTTCCCCCTCTCTCAAAATCTCCCTTCTCCAAGGTCAGGTACAGGTCATTACGGATATCACCTGTGGGAAAAGAAATGGCATGTCCTCATGACTACAGAAGCCATACTACTCCATGGTCATGGAGGACCGGACTAGCGTGTGGATCCTCCAAAGTTTGGGTGGGTGCTCAGGGCATTCCAAGCTTGGTTAATAATGATGGACACTCTACCAATATCAGTGCAGCAGTATTCAGACTTGGTTAGTCATGTGTTCTCTAAGTCTGAATTCTAAAGGTGCTCATTGTTGCTTGGCTGGGTGGGAAAGGGCAGGGCAGAGAATCTTCTCCCAGCTTGTAGGTGACTGGCTAGTCTCTGCTCTCTAGGAGAATGGCTGCAATCTAAGCCTCCAAGAGGAAAGATTTTAGAATTAACAGCATTAACACATTTTAATCATGTCTGTGTCTTAACTACTAATCTTTCATCTTTTTCTAAAAAAAGTGTTTGTCCCCCCCCCCCCCAAACTCCAACCATTCTGAGTCTGGCTAGAAAACATACTATTTCTCCTTCCTTCTAGAGGCTTGGCTCCAAAGCCCATTTCCTGCTGGATGCCAGCCAGAGAGGTCACTGGACTACCTGTCAGTTTTTCTTCACCTCGTTTACAAGTGCTCTGGGAACAGCTGACTTTCCAGAAGCACAGGTGCTAAGGTGCTGGGCCCACAATCTGTTCTGTTTTTGCTGCTTCCCTGTGCTCTGACTCTGGTCTACTTTGCCCATCTCTGCTACTTGAGACTATGCAGGAGAAGGTCAAACTGCATGTTGAAAAGGACCCAAGTCACATCTGCCATTTTTAGGGAGATGAACTGGAAGAACGGCTGCTCATGTATAAGAAGAGCTTATTTAGGCTGCTCTAAGCTCCTAAATCTGTAACACTACCAGTTTTATTCACACAATCTATAGAAGGGATTTTGACTTTCAAAAACTTAGTAAAGGCTGTGTGTGTGTTGGGGGGTGCATAAGTCTTCAAAGGAAGAAAAAAGCAAAGAAAAACAAGGAAGGCCAATGCGAAGCTGTGTTAGCAGCCTGATTAACCAACTGAGAGGTGATGACACAGATAATTTGCAAAGCAACCTATTCAGAAGCCAGATATTCTTTCCATTCTAGTTCTTAGAAAACTTGGTACGCTTAAATTTGTTCATTATTGGAAACCACAATGACAGAAATGGGTTGTTTTTGGTAAGCAAGTGAATCCTGTGGTTTGGTCAGAGATACCCAACAATGGCCTCTTTTCTGCCCTGACTACCTCTCTAATAGTGGAGTATCTGTCATGCCTAAAACTGCGCTAGACCAGGACCGGCATATATCTGGGGCTTTAAGGGGCTTCACCACCATTCTTCACTTCGGATGTGCAATTTTTAAATCACTGTTGTTTGATTGCATAGTGAAGGCTTTCAAAATGTTTTGGCTCAAGTGGGGAAGGATAGCTCCTGAGAAGAAATTAACTGTTCTCTGAGAGCTCTGAGAACTTTCCCTAAGCTATGAAAGCTATAGTGAAGGGAAGAGGAAAATACGTTGTGAAAACCACATAAAAATGCAATTGCTGGGTATGAGGGACAGTCTTGAGGGTGTCCATCCTGGCAGTCTGCACAGACTTTCTTCTTGGGTTGGGTAGAACCTCTGCTTTGAATTCTGATGAGTTTGGAACCCCTGTGTGCTTCCTTCGGATATCCCTGCTTGGAACTTCATTAGCAACATTGTCAACAGCATTTGGGTGTACAGGTGGGCATGTAGGAAAAGGGGAACTCAAATTTATCAGTTTGGTACTATCAGGACAGAGGTTAAATAAAACTAGTTCTGAAAGTAAAGGTGAAACTTAACTAGGGACTTTCTATGTGTTATTGCTATTATAACAGGATAAGTCAGAGTTGGTTACACCTGGAATTTTTAACAATTGAAACAGACATCACATGTCTGTTTAGTGTGGTTTCAGTTGCACATGAGCTTTCCAATTTCTAGTCTGATTTAGCATAAAGTGACTCATCCAGATAATTTTAATGTCTAACCTAAAGAATAGGTGCTCGATTTAAATATTACCCTGATTTGCACTCTCTGCAAGTTATTCTCAAGACAATCTGAGTGGCTTTTAAAAGTGCTTGCTGGCTGCCCCCAGTAGCATTCTGGCTTGTATCAATACTTTTAATTGTGGCAGCTCTGTATACAGGTGAATGATGTTACAATAGGCATGTAATTTAGATGAAAGATTTTCCAACTTTTCCTGGAAATATATAAAACATCAATATTTAAACTAGTTATTGCCTTGGATATTGCTAAAGACTTGTGTTGGTTTTAGAGAATGCGTTCATAGTGTCTGGGCAGCTCCTCAAGGGCATTTTAAGCCAACGTGCTATTTTTTCAAATCACAAGGATTGGGGTAGATATTCCTAATTTTCTTTCTTGTTTAAAATTTCTATTAAAACAGATGCCTTTGGTTCTGGTCTAGCTGAGAAGCTTTATCAATACAAATATCTCCATTCTCTAAGTTACAGATTCTAACAGTGTGATTTTATCAAGCTTTGGTTGGTCATTATTTGCCTTGCCTAGACCAGGGTCATTCTCCGTCAGAATAGCTTTTTGGTTGCAATTCAGTATGGCCTAAATTTTGAGAGTGGCTCTTTGTGAAAGTTAATGTTTCTGGGGCCTTCTTATCAAAAGCTCTCTAGGAAATGATTTAAATCAAGGTCTTCACTAATTCCCCTGGAACTAGGAGAAAACCTAAGCAGCAGCAAATGTGAAAAAGCTCCAGGGATCTCATGACCTAGACCTGCCTTACAAAAAGCCTTCCAGGGATCCTGGGCTCCTCAGCTGTTCCTATCGCATTCACATGTTCAAAAAACCTACCAGTGGAATCATGCCTTTGGTTTAAGGCACTGTCTCCAGGATGCGCCTGTAAACTTTATCACCAATTGCCAGGAAATATTACCTAGGAGAGGGATGAGGATAGGCACATTACCATGACAGTGGGAAAGAGAAGGCCTGCGCAGTGGTTTGGGAGGTTTATTTGCAGACTACTGCCTGGCTGTATTCGAATCACCCTGTTAAAAATGGATTCCTAGCACCCACCCCTGAGATTCTAGTGGTTTTGTGAATCAATATATTAAAAAGAATCACCAGTTGATTCTGATGCTCCCAAGGTTTAACTCCCAGGCATCAGAACATGGAGGTTCTGCTGGGAGGGCACTAATGAAGTTTGGCTGGGGTTCATGGCTGGGTGGCCCTTACGCAGCATGAAGGAGTATGGGGAAGGGTATGGGAAAGAGAGGCTTTTTTGCAGAGGGTGGGAGCGGGCATTGCTCAGGGCGGGCCTGATGATAGACTCTCTTTAGGGCAGCCCTGCCTTCCTTTGTTGAGTGCCCTTTGCTTCCTGTGGTTGGCGAAGGATCTCACAGCATCATCAGTGCTTTATATCCTTGAGAACCTAGTGGTTGGCTGACAAGCAGCAAAGTTTCTTGAATGGAAAGATGAATGAGATTGTTCTTGTAAAAGGACCTCAGAATAAATATCCTGTCCCTCTCACACAATGTCGTTGTTATTAGGTGCCCTTGAGTTGGCTTTGACTCACGGAAGACCCCATATACAACAGAATGAAACACTGCCCGGTCCTGCACCGTCCTCACATGCTTGAGCACATTGTTGCAACCACTGTGTCAATCCACCTCATTGTGGGTCTTCCCCTCCTTTGCTGACCCTTTACTTTACCAAATATGATATCTTTCTCCAGGGACTGAGCCCTCCTGACAACATTACCTAGTGAGTGGAGTGCCTTTCAATCTGAGGGGCTCATTTTCCAGCACTAAATCAGACAATGTTTCACTGCTATTCATAAAGTTTTCCAGTAACATAGGAGACTGTTTCACTGCTGTTTTCAGAAGTGGATGGCCTCATCCTTCTTTCCAGTCTGTCTCAGTCTGGAAGTTCCATTGAAACTTGTCCAACTAAGGGTGACCCTACTGGTATTTGAAATACTGGTGGCATAGCTTCCAGCCTCACAGCAACATGCAAGCCACCACAGTATGACAAAGTGACAGATGAGTGGTGTATCTCACACAATAGCCAGTGCCAATTATCATGGTGCAGTTCAGAGGAATGGGTACTCAGAGTAGGCAATGCCATTCTGTAAAAGGCCAGACAGACATAGGTCCTTGTCACATGTTCTTCTTTGCTTTGTTTTTATAACTCTTTTAAAATGCAACAACAACAACAAAAAACTTAGCTGGCAGGTAATATAAAAACAGGCTGTGGGCTAGATCTCCAGTGGGCTATAGTTTTTCTATTCATGGCTTGGAGTGTTTATTTATGAAGAACAACTTTACTGTACTGTAACTACTCATCAAAAGTCCAGATTCTTGTGCACCTACCACAAATAGCTGCTGGGACGGGGCAGGGTAATGAATATGAGCCATCATATTACAGCACAGATTCACCTGAAATACTCTGGGGTTCTTATGAAAGGAGATATCTTAGAGTGAAACAGTGCTGTTCATTGACCAGGAATCTTAGGGGGGTAAAGAGTACTGTGATAGAGTTGCCATGTACCACAGCCATGGTATCCAGCAGTGGAGGAGAACCACTTGCCTCAGTGGCCAGGTCTGACCCTCTGAAGGTCTACATCTTAGAATGACTGTAGAGAAACAAAGCTTACAGTGTGTGTACAGATCGCTCTGAGATCAGTTATTGTAAAGGCTTCAGAACATCTGAGGTCCAGCTCAGGTCCCAGAGTATCTGTTAGCAAGAGAACTTCTTGACAGATATACAAGGCATACTTTGAGCTTTGGGGCCATTAAATCATATGTTTCCAGCCTAAATGGAATTCCAGCCCGGTAGAAATGGTCCAGGAGCTCTGGTAGCATAGTGCATAAGGCACTTGACTGCTAACCAGAAGGCTGGAGGTTCAAACTGACCAGCCACTCCTCGGAAGGAAGGTTGGGCAATCTACTTCCATAGTGATATTGTCTTGGAAACCCCAGGAGGGGTCGCTATGAGTCGGGGCCGACTTGACGGCACACAACAACAACCAGGACCGTCTAC